CCCGCGCGGGGTGAGGCCGTGTGAACTGCAGGCGGCTTTAAAAAGATATACGGGCCACGCGCACCCGCTCACATCTGCATCCGTAAGCGCCGGGTACAGGAAGGGATATGGGAAGGAACCCGCAAAAACTCCTTCTTTCCGCCTCTCCTTGTAATTAAATGAGCACCAGTTCTCGCACTGTATATTTAATTTTGTCCAAGGAGCATAGGCATGTCTTTTTAGAAGGACTGACTTCTTTCATATCTTGCACTTTCAAAAAGTCAGTCTTTCTATACCCTGCAGGTGCTTCATTGCTTTTTTCGTTCTTATTTATTTTTTCCACCGGAGCGGTGTTGCTGTTTTAACCAGGCCAAGCTGGTTGCTATCCAGCTTGCATTGCACCCCACACACTACCCTTCCATATTGGAGTTTTCCAGTAACTCACATTTCTTTAGGGTGGGAAAAAGGACCTCCTGTGCATTAGATTAAAATGGGAAAAGACCTGAGTGTAGAAAATGAAACCCTTACCCCTTTTAATCTCTACAGATTTGAATGATATTACTACTGAAGGTTAGAAAAAAATATCCTTTCTTCATATCAGACTTATGAATCCATAAATATTTCAGTTTTGCTGTTAGTACCAGAAAGTAATGACAGGATTCAGAGCGGGGACATTAATTACAAACAGGACTAACTCGGAGAGAAAGATGTGAACTCAAGTAGCCCTTTCAGGCTAGAGTTTTTATTTTTTATTTTTGATAAAGGGAATGAAGGATTTAGCCCTTACAGAACAAACTGTAATATGTCTAAATTCATAAAAGAATGCTTTTAAATTGAGACATGAAATAATTTACATGAAATAATTGTCTGAATGGTTTAAATATTAAAATAATTTGCTTAGGTTCATCTGCAGATCCGCATCTCTGTTCCGCAGCAAACCTTGGGTGCCCTCACAGAGCAGCGCCGTGGAAGCTCCCGCAGGAGGAGCCCGCTGGGCTCTGCCCCGCGCATGGGATGTGAGTTTCTGTGGAGCTCACAAAAACTCTCCTGACACAGCTTGGGACACTGCAAAATTCAAAATGTATCAGGTACCTCTCTTTATGGAACAAGTATCAGTGAAGTGTCTTAATTTAGAAAATGAACAAAATAATAAATACATCTTAACCCTACCATCCCAAAGTGAAGCCTCCCTTTTGTCCAGGACATTTTTAACTACAGCCCTCTTACTGAAATGATCTTTAAAACTCCTCCTTTAAAATTCCTTTAAAACTTTAGTTTCCTAGCCTGGCCATCTATCTAGGATTCATGGAAAAAAAGAAAGAAAAAAAAAAAGAGAAAAAAAACTCTACTGTTTTGTACCCTTTCTTCATGGAGCTTAGCATGTTTTGGAAGCTGAGTAATCTCATTAGTGTTTATTCAGTGGGAGCTAAAGTGGCTTACCAGTTTGCAGGCTTAGACCCCTAAATAGTACATGAATAAATTGCTGACAGAGCCAAAATAAAAGATTAAATCCTCTTCCCTTCCTACACAAGTTGTAATTGCTGAACATGTTTGTTAGGTTAAATCATGCTAGACCTGTTATACAAAATTGTTTCTTTCAAGATAAGTATTAGGAAAGCATTTTCTATGAAGCCTTTTCAATATAAGGTGTTTTCTTTAATTTTGTCACTCAAGTACAGGACGTGACAAAACCTGAGTAAGAACTGAACTTGGCCCAAAGATGTCTTTGAGAGCTATAGAAAAGGCTGAAGGCAATGAACAATGGAATTGTTTGTCTGCAAGGGAGGAAATAACAGGAAATCACAGAAAAAAATGTTAAGCAATTACAGGCACTTGAGACATCTACACAATATTCGATTGCCTGGCCCTGAGAATAGGCCAAGACACAGAGTTTTTTGGCCAAAATCTTGATTGCAAGAATCTTGAAGCTCTGAGCAAGTAAACTATGTGGGGAAACATACATTCCTGTGACTAGCGAGATTGCATTTAAAGAAACTCTACATCGCTTTCATCTCATTACAAAAATGCAGAAAATAAATACACACGAGGGGCTCCAAACTTCATCTGAACTATCCAGGTCAGAAAAGGATAGCAATGCCAAATCCTAAGAATAGCTGCATGGGATCAGACCAAAGGTTCATCTATTCCAGTATGCTGCTTCCAACAGCAGCACAAGGCAGCTGTGTAGAGAAGAGAATAAAAGTAGGACAAGGATGTAATACTTCTGGGCACTTCTGTAGTCTTAAAGCCATTTGCAGCTCAGGACTTTTTGAGCCATTTGTGGTTTCTATATCCTATGTTAAGTATTCCCCAAAGGATTCCTATATCAAGACTTAGTCTAGGGCTTGCTCAAACCAGTCCACAACAATGTACAGCAATGATGCTTCATATCGTCTGAAAAAAATACTGTCTTTTTGTTTGTTTTATGCTTCTTCCAATGATACTTTTGTTTCCATTTGTTTTGATTGCAAGAAATAGTGATTATTCTGTAAATCTGTCTATGTCTCTGATGATTTTGGAGACTTCATGTATCCACTCAGACTTATTTTTTTCCAAGATGAAAAGTCATATCTTGCATCGATGCTCATTTTATT